TGATACTTTCCATGATAGCTCATGATGTCATGAGTATACTAGTAACAATTGTTGCTTTGGAGTCCAGTTCAGCGTTGGCAGCAAAGTGCTCACTAAATATTGAAGCTCACTTCTATCGAAGAATGCATAAGCTTTGATATGCACTCAGACATGGATTTATGGATTTGAAGTTAAAGGTAACATGTTAACTTATATTTCACATGTTTTAATATTTTAGTTTGTTAATATATAAGAATATTTAATTTATATTTTGTTAATTGTGCCAGTAACCTAAGCGAAGATTAGGGAATCAAGGCTGGTTTGTAACACATCAATGTGTAATAGAATTTGTCAATTTGGTTGAACAATTTTGTCCCTATTTTTGTTTACTATGAAATTTGTTTGTTTAGTGTTTACTATGTATGTTTGGTGAAATTGATGATGAAATTATGTTGAATGTTGAATGTATTAATATGTATGTTGAATGTTGATAATGATGTTTGGTGAAATTTAATCAAATTTAATTTAATCAAGTTTGTGTTTGTCCATTAATTTAATCAAATTAACCAAGTTTTGAAAGCCTAATAAATGAATTTTATACCAAGTTTTCAAATTAATACAATATACATTTTTAAGTTTACAATTTGAATAACAAAAAACAGTGAAAAAATTGCAATTTGAATAACAAAAAGTAGGGAAAAAAAAATAAATGTAGAAAAGTTTAATTTATGACCTGTGGGTCGACCCGTACGGGCGGGTACGGGTCATGCATTTCCCTACCCGTGAAATATTTTTACCCGTGCCTGTTTTACCCATTACCCATAGCTACCCGCCTGCCCGTTTGCTAGGTATAGTTGTGGATTATGTAATAAAAGTTTGGACCAAGTGGGCGAATGTTAGAATTTTAATTTAATTAAAATTCATTAATTCATTATTAATAATTGGTCTAACACTTTTATTTTAATTGTAGTTTTATAAACTGCTGAGTAGTTAGTAAGCAGTTACTAAGCAATTATCTCTAGCAGTTGCCATTGATGGAAAGATTAGCAAAAGGGAACGTCATAAGTCCCCAATTCAAGCAATTGATTATCTCACATTCCCAAAATGTAACGCCCCACTTAAGGTACGTACTCAAGATTTGCTGTATTGCTTAAATATTTATTGATTCGGTTTTAATTGAGTTTGTATGTTGAGTTGGTTGAGTGTTTGCTTTGAAATTGGTTGAGTTTTGAGGACTCTTAGAATTGCAGTCTTCGCTGCGGCGACGTTGGCTTTGAGTAAGGCAGTGTCGACTCTGTAACTTTTCGCTGGGGCGACGAGCCTGTTGAAAAGTTTAATGAGTTTCTAGAGAATTCTTTATAGGGGTAAAAATGACCTTTCTACCCCTAATTAGTAGGAAAAGTGAGGAGTAAAATGTAAAGAAATTTAGTAGAGAATGTGTTGAAGATAAGGGTGTAATTGCAAAGAATCAAAGGATATAGATGGAATTTCCAAGGAAGAGGAAGGGCAAAATTGGAAATGATGGTTATAATATGAGCTAAAAAGGGTTAAGTGAAATAAGCCCTTCATTTTCATCCATTTCCACCGCCATTCTCATTCTCTACTTCCTTTCATTTTTTCCTTCCAATTTTCCCAAGATTTCTAAGGAGTTTAAGAGAGCTTTTGAGTAGAAATTTCATCTCAAGCATCCTAAGGTAAGGATTCTTGCTTTAGATGTGAGTTTGCTTATAGTTATAGTGAAGTCTTATATGGTTGTTATTGTTCTTGTTGTTGTTTTAAGTTGAAGAGAGAAGACAAGACAACAAAGGAAAGGAAAAGTGCTAGAGAAGTCACTTTTTTACAAGGTAAGTAAATCCAACCAAGTTGAGATTCAAGAAAGTATATGAGTGGAGATTTATTTTAATTATGTATATATATGTTACACTTACTGAAAAATTGAGATGAGATGTGTGCTTAGTCATAGTTGTTGGATATGCTTAAATTATAAGTGTTTTTGATGTGTGATGAGAGAGTGAAATTGAGTTGAAGTTGGAGGAGTTTTGTATGAATATTTTTGGGAGTGTTTTCCTTGGCAGGGATTATGACTATATGAGGGAGTTTTCCTCCCATGGATGATTAAAGAGAAGAGTAGAGTTATAGATAAGTAGAGCTTTGGTATGCACATGAGTTGTTTGATAAAATGCCTAAGTGAGAAACTGTCCTGTCACAGTCGTGACCTTCTAAGTGGTTTTTGGGCATTTTACGAATTGAACTGAGTTTAGATCAAAACATAAAAATTAAAGCACTGTCTCTAAGCTTTAAAACAATACCAAAACCGTAGCAATCCGATGTGTATAACGCAAGTTATGCCGTTTTTAGTGTGACCTGTGTAGAATGACGATTTTGGAGCAACATTGCATTTGTTCATTTCATGAGTGCATTAATGAGCATGAATCATCCACATGCACTAATTATGCATTAGAGAAAGAGTAGGAAAAAGAGTAGAGAACTTTGAGTGTAAGCTTTATTAAGAGAAAATAGAGAAAAAGAAAATAGAGTAGGTTGTGCGATGGGGAACCTGTGAGTAATGGGTAGAGTATTCCTGCATGTACGCCGCATTGAGAGAGCGGCATGAGTATGAGAGAGAGAAGTGGTGTAGCCCGTGAGAGTGCATGGGGATGAGGCTATACCCGAGGGTACCCGAGAGAGAGATTATTCACTCATATGGCCAAGGGTTCCGAATCTATGCATAACCGAGTCCGATCGGCTAGAATGAGGAGAAGTCACGTAGAGCGGGAGCGAGTCCCGGCCGTGCCTCCGGTAAGATGAGGCCGTGACTACTAAAGAGAGGAAAAGAGTTATGAGAAAGAGATAATAGAGAGAAGTATAAGAGAGAGAGTAAACGAGCATTGTAAGGAAAGAATTAGAAAGGGGGAGAGAGAGAGTTACGGGGATAGATGAGTAGAGGATTTACTTACTGAGCATTAGTTGTGCTCACCCTGTTGTTTTCCATGTTTTTGCAGGATCTAGGTGAGGACACAGTCGGATGGGCGTCGACAAGCGAAGGGAAATGGCTACACTGTCCACCTTGTTTTTTATGCTTTGTACATGATACAACTTTTTGTATAAAGAATGTATATGTTTAATAAAAGAAAAATTTGGGCCCAACCTTTTTATGTATTTCATTACGTACATGTTTTATGAGTATTTGAGTAGAAAGCGGCTATTACACAAAACCACCGTACTGAAAATTGCTTTTGAATTGGAAGTATCTGTAGACTTCAAGAAGACAGTATTGTGAAAACTAACGAGCAATCTACAACCAAATTGCTGTGGCGGGAGATTAGTGTCAATTCAATTTCCGTTGCTTTCTGCATATAAACATGTATATGAATTTATATGTTATGGTTATATACATGTTGATTGATATGAAAGAAAATGTTTAACAGCTTTTAAAGAAATTATAGAAGAGAATTAGAAGAAATGATCTAATTATTCCCATTATCATTTCATCTGGAAGAGAAATTACTAAAAAATAAAAAAAGAAATTTAATCTAACTACACTACTGGTATTTTATTTATTTTTTATAATTTACTAATATCTCAAACATTTTTTTTCTTACGTAAAACCTAAGATCTTTAGTTACAGCTTAAAAATCTCTACATCATAAATCCTAATCTTCTTTGTTTCAATCTCAGTAGTTTGATATATTCCTTAATTTTTTTTCTTCCACATGTTTTGAAATACCGTTTCTGTTAAACTTGTCAATTTTCAAACTTTATTGATCCTACTGCTCTTGTTGGTCTTGTTTTGATCATGCCAGAAAACCTAGCTCTAATACTAGATTGTTCAGGTCAGTCCGCTTACATTCTAATCTAACTCACGTATCTCTTCTTGACTCCTAATCACAATTGGTTAAAGTAAAATGTTTATATAGAAACTAACAGTTTATTGGAACTAAAACACGTAGAAAACGAGTCAAAGCTAGTTTCTCTTTGCTATAGTCCACGACCAACAAAACAAGTCATACCGTCTTCTTAGCCCATCCTTAAAGGATGAATTCCTTGAAGATAGAACTGGGCCACTCTGAAATTCCACTTGGAGTTTGGACTATGGCCCAAACTAACTTCTACTTGCAGCAGGATTTGATTTTTAGTGTACTTACAATTACAAAGAGCTTAGATCTAGTCCGGGTTTAACCACAAACAATTTGATAAAGATTTCCGTAAGAATATGTTAATTTCACAAAATATTTTTCATATTTTCTGATATTTAGTAAATATAGGGCTAAGTCCAATGATACATCGGCAGAAATTACTCAATATTTTAGTGTTTATAGTTAACTTAATATGATGAGATTTGATGGTCCGAATTAAGAAATTAAATAATATAATGATGCATAGATTTCTTTGTAGGGTTAGCTACCAAATACAAGTATGAAAAAACAAAGACCGGTTGGTGATGGATTTGATCATTGGGCCATTCCACTGACCAGTGGCCTTTCACAAAAAAATTCAATGATGATAAAAGTGATTGTTAGGAGGTGTGTATCCGCAAATTTTTACGTGACAGCCCGATCTCCTACCAACATTTCATCCGTTTCTCGCCCAATCTCAATTTTACCTTCACTTTTTCTAACCAAAATATTAATTTAGATAGATTTTGATTAAGTTGACCTGGATTTATTATGGGCTTCATCTGGAACAGCGGCGGAACAGTGACGGGTTAGATGATATTTCTGGAATTCTGATGTAAGTGCCGCGTGTCAAACAAAACTGTGACGTGGCCACCTAATAGCCTTTAACGTTTTCTATGTTAGGATATTTAAAAAAGCAGATCTCTAGAGAATACCACTTGACCTTTCGCTATTTGAAAATGAATGCACGCACCTTGTTATCATGACGCCTCACGGCCCAAAATCCAACGGCTACAAATTACATAGTAGGTAATCATCACATCAGACAGTGGATAACAAGCGCACCATTGCATATTCTTACACCTGACTCTTATCAAAACGAACGTACTCGCCCAGCAACCGGTCGTCCCGGTCTCCCATTCTCTTCCTTTGTGTTAAAAACCCTATTTCCCATCTCCAACCATCACTGAGCTATTTCCACTTTATCAGTTACTCTCACTTACTCTCACTAATACATCTTTCTTCAACTCTCTAGAATCATGGGTATTTTTTTTTTCACTAGTTTTATGCGATTTGATCGTCTTTTTTTTTTCTTTTTTTCAAGTTTTATTTTGATTTCGTGATTTATTGATTTACTTTAATTAATTTGAATTTCTGTTTTGGTGTACAGGAAAGGTCAAGATCGGAATCAACGGTAATAGATCTTAGTTTGTCTGATCTTATAAAGTGTATATATGTGTTGATCCTGTCGGTTGAGATCTGATTTTTTTTTTTTGTTTTTGTGTTTGATTTTAAATTACAGGTTTTGGAAGGATCGGAAGGTTGGTGGCGAGAGTTGTCTTGCAGAGGGATGATGTTGAGCTTGTTGCTGTTAACGATCCATTCATCACCACTGATTACATGGTATTTCTTTTAATAAAACAATTTAACTGTATGTTAGATTTATTTGTTTTGATGGAGTATTTGTAAGTGTTTTTGCCTTTGTTTTGTGTAGACGTACATGTTCAAGTATGACAGTGTTCACGGTCAATGGAAGCACCATGAACTCAAGGTTAAGGATGATAAGACTCTTCTCTTTGGTGAGAAGCCCGTCGCTGTCTTCGGTGTTAGGTATGCGTTTTCTTCTTACTCTTCAGTAATTCAACTTTGGTTTCGAGTAATAGTTCATGGAAATAGGCGTGTGATAGAACTTTCGGTTAAGATGATGAACGTTTGTGTATTGTATGAACGTTTAGGAACCCAGAAGAGATTCCATGGAGTCAGACTGGAGCCGAGTACATTGTGGAGTCAACTGGAGTCTTTACTGACAAGGATAAGGCTGCTGCCCATTTGAAGGTTCTTCTTTCACATGCATCTCAACTTTTCTTTAGTGTTATATTCTTTGTACCACGTGGCTGATGTTTGTTACTTTCACTAATTTTATTGGGATGTTATCTTTTAAGCTTGCTACTTCTGTATGAGTTCTGTTTGATGCAAACATTGTTTGGCTATTTCTAAATTGTTAATATCTGTCTAAGAAAAAATGATATAATTTAAATTTTTCAATGAGCTAGGTTCTTAAGTAATAAATAATCAGTTTCTGCTTAATTATTTACATTTTCGCATCAATCTTTTGCCACTGTTTTGGATGTGGACCTAAATGAACACATACTTGAATGGTATATCAAAATTTTGGCATGTTTTTATCCAACTTTTAGTGATTTATTGTCTTAAAATATCAATTTATGTCTGCCATCTAAGTAAAAGTGGTTGGTTTCATCAGGGTGGTGCTAAGAAAGTCATCATCTCAGCCCCTAGCAAGGATGCTCCTATGTTTGTTGTGGGTGTTAATGAGCACGAATACAAGCCAGAGCTTGACATTGTGTCCAATGCTAGCTGCACCACCAACTGCCTTGCTCCCCTAGCAAAGGTTCTTGTTTTATCCGCTTCTTTAGTATTGTTGGGTTTGTGTTAAGAGTTACTCTGAGGCAATGAGTTTATGTGGGATTTAACTTATTCTTGCATCAACTTGCAGGTTATTCATGACAAGTTTGGCATTGTCGAGGGTTTGATGACCACTGTCCACTCCATCACAGGTATATAATTAAACAAAATTGCTTTTACCTCCATTATCACTATGTTGCTCTTCATATGTATATTCATTATGCGTTTTTTTATTTTGTTTTAGCCACACAAAAAACTGTTGATGGGCCATCAATGAAGGACTGGAGAGGTGGCAGGGCTGCTTCATTCAACATTATTCCTAGCAGTACTGGGGCTGCAAAGGTAATGCTCATGCTACTTCATATTGAGTATCATATCAATGTATGTCAAGTCAGATTCCTAGAATATGATGTAAACCAAGTAGGATCAGTAATCAAATCATCTTAGCATCACTGTAGATGAGTTTATATCCTCTTTCTTTTAATATAAATGTAATTGTATTATTTTGTATTGTCCATTTATTTTTAGACCTGCACCGTTTGATACCTGATGTTATTGTTACTTGACTCATATATGTATTTTAGGCCGTGGGAAAGGTGTTGCCTTCTCTGAATGGAAAATTGACTGGAATGGCTTTCCGTGTACCCACTGTTGATGTCTCAGTGGTTGACCTCACAGTGAGACTGGAGAAGGGAGCTTCTTATGATGAGATTAAAGCAGCTATCAAGTAAGAGCAATTTTAGTGTGTATATATATTTGCTGTAGTGAAAGCCTTGCCAGAAATTTTAAGTTTTCGACTTCTGCTAGTGGAGCTTTTAATTGATTTTAGGTGCTCAGTATTGTCATACTGTTAGTGATTTTTTTTCTTATGCTTATTGTGATGTTCTTCAGGGAGGCTTCTGAGGGAAAACTGAAGGGTATCTTGGGATACACTGAAGATGATGTGGTTTCCACCGACTTTATTGGTGACAACAGGTAAGAAGGGGCATGTGCATTTTTTTAGTGATTTTATCTTGGAGCATGTAGCGCTTGTCTTCTTCTTTTTGGTTTGTTTCATACATGATCAGTATGTATTGGGTTTTCGGATGGGACTTTGTCTCTCCTCCACTCGGGAATGGGCTCCACATTTTTCTTTATTTTAGTTTTGTTTGGATGGTTTGTCGGCAAGATATAGAATCTAAGGCAACCTTATCTGTGGCCTTTTAAAGATTTATATTATCTTCTCACTGTGCCTGTGTATGATTGAGCCTTGAGAATATTAGCAAATCAGTTAATTTATCATCTATTTGATTATTTAGGTCAAGTATCTTTGATGCCAAGGCTGGTATTGCTCTGAGCAAGAACTTTGTGAAGCTTGTCTCGTGGTACGACAACGAATGGGGCTACAGGTAAAATTCTGATTTAACCATGTCTTTTTTTTTTTTTTTTTTTAAATAAATAAATAAGTACTTTGTAGCGGTATTTGGGTAAATAATACGTAGATGAGGTTATTTAAATTGGCGTTGACAATGTGTATTTTGTGATGTTGCAGCACACGTGTCGTTGATCTGATTGTTCACATGTCAAAGAGCCACTAAGTGGCATGGGTATCTAATATGCCTGCTTGATCGGAGTGTGGTGTTTGCGTCTTATGTAGAGGCAGCTGAGTTGAAATAAAATTGTTTTGAAGACAATATCAAGAGTTTTTCCCTGCATCTTTGGGCAGGGTTATCGTTGTTTAGTTCAGTCAAATAGTTTTTCCTAGAACACCTGTTCACAAGAAGGCTTGAATTGGAAACTTAAAGGAATTGGGTTATATATTTTTGTTCAGTTAGTATTGAATCCCAGTTGTCCGACTGTTTTCTATATCTTCCTTCCCTTTGTTAATAATAAGCGGGCAGATTTTATTCCTTAGTCTAGCCAGACGAATTTTTTATTATGCCGGAAAAACCTCTCGCAATCGCTATTAATGGCAATAATGAATTTGGTTCAGCATCAGCTAAAGAAACTATTAAGTATTTGGTAGACCTGGCAAAACGGTCCAGACTCGTGGGTTGACCCTAGATCTGAGAAAATTATATAAGGTATGGGTCCATGAAATTGGTCTTGAGAAAATTATATAAGGTATGGGTCCATGAAATTGGTTTCGTTTTTTCACATCCGTACCTGGCTCTACTCGTATTTCAAATGGGTTATACGGGTTAATCCGTGGGTACCCCTTTTTAAAAAAGAAAATCTCCTTTTGTAACTTTGTTATCGCATTTCCCACCCCAGGCTAGTCTTCTTTTGTTCTTCATTTCCAAATCCCTAACTCATTCACTCTCCTAATCGTCTTTTTCTGATCTTCATTCTTCTCTAACGCAACTCCTCTCCCAAAATCAATCCAACAAACGCGTCGGTCGTTGATAGTCTCTAGACTCTCCACCACGCAAAATCAATCCCGCTTATCCAAGGTATGTAACTCACTCACTCTCGTCTCTCACTCTCACACTCATGACTCACCCATTGGCCCCTGTCTTCCTCAACCCAAAGTCTTTTTCTTTTTTAGTTTTTCTCTTGGTTTTGTCACTAAAACAACTTCCATGGACTGTTGCCAGAGTGTCTCTGTCTTCGGTGAATACCACCACCACCACTAGCAAGAGTGAGTGCAAGTGCTTTGTGTGTGTTTGTGTTTCCCTCTTTTGGGTTTGACAGAAGAGTCTGAAATGGAAATAAAGTTTTGAACTTTACTTGCCTTTGGGCTCTGTGATGTGAAAAGCTTGACTTTAATTGCCTTTGTGAATGTGACTCTTTGTTTTGTGATCGACTGATTGTGACTCTTTGCCTATGAGATAATACGCAAGTTAATTCACTAGATTGTTGTGTGTCCAAAGAAGAGAAAAGATTAAGTTAATTAATCATGGTTTGACTGCTAATTAAGGGGGTTTTTGGAGAATGGAGATTGCTAGATTTAGACTCAAAACAACGAATAATTAAGGGTATAAATTATCTCCTATCATATGAATGAACATACCCATCTTTTAGTGCGGAGCTGTTGTGGAGTGCTTTTGAGTTTTCAATTTAATTTCAAAATATTTAAATTGGCTACTTGATGAAATTTGGATACGGGTGATCTTTTCAAGACAACTAAAAGAACTCACTGTGAATTTTGTAAAAAATTAAAACTGCAGGAATTTTGGGGTGTAACTGTCATAATTGAAAACTATTAGAGGTAAAATGCAAAAAATAAAAATTAGAGAGAGAAAAAATGGGTACCCACGGGTTCACCTGTACCCACATAGGGTAGGGTACGGGTCCAATAAGTCGACCCGTATTGGGCCCGTACCCGTGAGACCCATACTCGTATTGACCCGGCCCGCCCGCGCGTTTTGTCAGGTCTAGTTTTTGGATGTCCCCAATAGTAACCTCCCCTATTTATCAATTAGTTTGTATATATCGGAAAATAATTTATTTCTTATTTATTTTATGTGTAGTTGCTCTTTTAGATCTAAGAGTAGCACGCCCTATATGTTGCTCTGTGGCTGCATTAAAAAAACCCCGCATTGAGATATATTATGAAGATTAATTAATTGTGATGTGTAACTAGGGTTTTCATTCGTACCTTTCTCTTAAAAGTAATAAACAACCCTGCTATTTTCAAACAAGTACTCAAAAATGAAAGGGTGTTATCAAGAGGACACTTATTTCAGAAATACACATTTAGAGGGTACCATTTTAAGAAATGAATGAGTACATGATGACCAATAATGAAGTGTGTATGTGAGTGTGACTAAGACCTGACAGTCAATGTACAGCTTGATGACCAAGACCTAACAGAGTAATAGTCAATGTAATTCAATTTTGAATTAAAATTAAAATTTAAGTACCTTTCAAAAACTGGTCATATCATATGTAACATTATTTGCATATAGACTTTTAGAAACGCACACATAAATAAATAAATAATGGTTAACTCGCAATTATTAACAAATGACAAGAGCTAAACGTACCTCTCCCGTGTCTTAAAAGCGTACAAACTCCATCATTCAAATTTCCCCAAATTTCGATCTCTCCGCCAAACCCAATCCTTCTTTTCAAACGTTTCTCTTTCTTGTGACTCTCAGCTAACTCCCCATCTTTCTGTATGATATATTATGAACTCATTTAATTATTCGATTCTAATCACATCCTCACTCCGGATCATCACTTTTAAGAACCCTACTTTTTATATATTACTGCCCATCTGATTTTTCTATTTTTCGCCTATTGCACATGGCCACCTCCGCCTTCAAGTCCACCACCAAGAGGACGCCCCTTGCGACTTCACAAAGCTCCGCCACCGATGACTCCTCTTCATTAACCAATCGGAGTTCCGCGGCTCACCGTCGTTCCAGAAGCCTCAGTCGATTCTCGCGGCGACTGCCGGGCCAAGACTTCTTTCCGGATGAGGCTCCCAAAGGGAGGTTTGTGAATACTGTAAGAGGATCGGGATTCCCTGAGATCAGCCTTGATGACCTCGCGGTTGAGTTTTTTGACTCTTCTGGTGATAGAGGAAGGTCGTCTGCTAGAAACGATAACGTCAGACCTAATGACAGTAGAGTTGGTGGTGGTGGTGGAGGGACTGCTAGACGAGGGAGGTCGGTGTCCAGACAGGGGGCGAAGGGCACTGGTGGTAATTTTTCAGGTGGAGGAAGTAATAATAATGCGAGGAGGAGAAGGTCGGTGTCTGTGGTTCGTTATCAGATTAGCGATTCTGAGGTAACCTCTTCTTGCTCTCTTAATGTTCACAATATTTGTGTTATTCATAAAAGGATTTAGCTTCTGTTTGATTAATTTGATGAATGATAATCATGTGTCTAGGTGCTAAATATTTGATATTGCTTTACCTTTAGTAAATATATTCGGAGAAATTAATCGAACATTGACGAACTGGCACATTGCATTCATGCTGTGCCTTGAAATGACCAGTTTTGGGAAATTATCAAGTTTATTTAATCAATACTTGGCATATATCAGTTGTATTATTGTGGCCGTATTTGAAACCAAATTTCATAAATTTATCAAGTTTGAAAATATCAAATTTTATTTTTTATTTTTTATATATTGTATTATCTTGGCTCATTTGGAACCACATGTCATAAAGTTATGAAGTAAATTCTGGGTTCTCTTTCCGAGTAAATTGATTAGTATCCAGAATCTTTGATGCACAGAAAGCCAAGATTTTCACTGGCATTTTGGATGAAGTTACAAATAAATTTGTTAGTGTACTTGATTGGATGTACCATGATGAAATTTTTAGCTATTGTCAAATTATTATTGATTAGTGTTAAATGAGAATGAAAGAGACAAACTACTGAAAGCACTGGATGAGATTGAATGTGACAATATTTGGAATTTTTGCCTGCATATCTATGAATGTCCTTGTCCTGTATGAATAGCTTTTAAGCCCTTAAACATCACTTGAATTTTCACTTAACATGTACATTGTTTAATGGACAGGAAATTTTAAGTTATTCTCTAATTATGTTTCGAGGGTTGTGCATGTCCAATGTGAAATTATTGTCATCATCACGTCTCATTATTTTGAAGGATCCTTTGTTTTCCTCGTAGCATTCATTGCTTTGTGGTCAGCTTGACCTTTTGACTCTTTTTAATTGGAAACCCTTACATTAACTTTATATCTATAACTCTTTGATGATAGCAGCTAGATTTTTCCAGGCTAGTTGTAGTGAACCAGTGAAAATATTTTGGTTGTTTGATCTCTTTGCATTTCTTCTTCTTGTATTATGGCAGAGTGATCTGGACCATTCTCAGAGTTCAAGCAACCGTGGTAGTCTGAAGAGTAACATCAGTGTAAACAGTCAGATGCCCTCATCGCATAGGTCCACTGCTTCAAATCATAGACCCATGCTTAGAAGATCTGTTAGCCAAAGAGATTTAAAGTACCATGATGGCTATTCTGTAAGTGTCATTTATCCTTTCTGTAAGATTTTATTGTAACTTTGTTTATTATTGAACATCTGAGGAACATTTAATTAGGGGTTTCCTATAAAAATGACTAAGAGACAGGCCTAGTCCAATGTTTTGATTGAATTTGCTATACCTTGAGCATTTTAAGAAGATCTCTTTTTAATTGTTGAAAGCTTTTTTGTAAAATAAGATTTCATAACTGAATCAAATTTAAAATTCCAATGGACCTTCCAGAGCCAATCTTCGGCCCTAACTGATGATGAAAGGAGGGATGCTCAATGCAATAAAAATGGAATCGAGAAGATAATACAAGCAGTTTATGCGCAGAATAAGGTTAGATTTATAGTGTAGAAAATAAATATTTTGCAATGAGTATGACCTCAGTTCAATCTATGTGCTTTGTCACTTATGCCTATGGTATCCTTCAGGTAGAGCATCCAACTGGGGATGATTCGAATAGTGGATTGTATGATGCAATGAGGAAAGAACTTAGACATGCTGTGGAAGAGATTAGGATGGAAATTGAACAAGTCTGCACTCTGAACCTGCTTTCTATCATCAGTATGTTGCATTCTCTGTTTTGTCTGCTAAAATGATCAGGATTCTTTGCTTCCTGTGCAGGCAGCGGTCAAAACAAAAACCTCCCCTTTACCAAATGATAATGGTTTGCAGTCCAAAAATTTTGATGCTCTTCAGTCTGTTTCTACAGTCAGAAGGAATTATGCAACAAAATTAGAACAGGTATTAAATTCAATCTGCCATGACTAATCTTGTAGCATCAATCTTTTTGACATGTTAGTGAATGAGAATTATCTCTTGTCAAAGTTGTTGATTTATAATTATCTTTTCCAATGCTGTTTAGACTTTAATAACACTGAAAATAAGCTCATGTTAGAGGTTCTTTATCACCTGCTATTTAAAGAACCCTCTTTGGCTTCCAGTTTTTCTGCTCTTATGTTGGTGCTATGATGGAATGTATCTTTCAGAATCTGTAAACTAAAACTAGCATCTGCTATTTCTTTTACTCATAATTTGAAAAGAAATTTTTAAATTGGTTTTTCAACAAGCATTTATGCATGTTATGATTCATCTTTGATATTTTAGGTTGTCTTTATTATCTATAATATGAGTGTGCCAAGCAACATATTGATGTAGTTTTTCTTTTCTGGGAAGTTTTATGAAATAAATTTTCTTATTTGACATTCTGCCTTTCATGAAGCACCTTTGATTGGTGATTGATCTTATTTTTTAAACTGCAGTCAGAGAAGCGTAAACAAGATCTATTAGCTGAAATTTTGCTGGAGGAGCAACGTAGTAGGGAGCTTTCTAAGATTGTCCAGGAATTGCTTCCTGAATCAAAGAATTCTGTTGTTGAAAAACCAATACGAGCCAGAAAGGTACCCTTTACCTTTTTGCTCTTTGCCAGATTTTCAGGATAGGTAAATGACTTTTTCCTTTGACTTTGTAATTTTCCAGAGGAGTAATGACAGCAATAGGATGTCTAAGCGATTGACTGAGGAGGCAGAGAAATATATTGAGGACTTCATTTCAAACGTTGAAGATACGGATATTTCATCTATAGATGGAGAAAGGAGTGATACCAGTTCAACTCTTGGAGGAGTAACAAAGACAGAAACTTTTCAGAGTCCAGCAATATTTAAGCCTCTTCCTGTTCAAATGGACGGGGTTGTATTGCCTTGGTTGCAGTGGGAAACTACTAATGATGCTTCTACTCAGTCTTGCAAGACCAAGACACAACCTCAATCAACTCCAAAAACTAAATTTTGGGATTCGTCTCAGGTAATTGTTGACCAGATGATTGCAATGTATTTCAAATGGTAGTAATATTTATCAAGTAACTCTGTCATGGATTTTCTTTTTATCTCTCTCTTACTGTTTTCAACGAATCTAGGAACCTACCTCTGCACAAGACTTAAGTTATCATTCTGCTAGCAGCCATGGGAGTTGGAGCCCTGGAATTATTGATGGCTATTCAATGAAGTTTGGAGAAGATAAAGGGATTCAAAACCAAAAAACAAGGTCGTGTATTGATGTGGAGGAGTATCTTAAATTTCAAAAAGATGAAGATCTTCTCTTTGAAATGTTGAGGCAACAACAGAGAATTAGTTCAGGCGGTCTTCTACTTTGTAACCAAATGTTTCTCTAGCAACCATATATTTTTTCAAATTTGGTTTCCGAATCCACAAATTACTGTATCACTCTGTATAGATAGTTAGATTTTAGTGTTTCTCAAGTTCAAGTAGCTGTCTGACTTTTACAGGAGTGCCTCTTTAATCCTTCATCAGCTGCATCTTATGCTAACTGCTGCCCGTTTTTCTCGAGCATAGCAATGGCCTAATTCTTCCGTCACAGACTAGTCTGCGTACTTCTTGTTTTTTTTTAAGAGTATATTAAACCAAAATGAGATAGGTTACAAAGTAACATGAATACAACGAAAGACAACAGAGGCACAAAGGCCCAGAGCACGCAGGTTTGAGCAAGACACAACCGCCCGAAGGAGCACAAAAGCTCGAAACCAAAATCAAACAAGGCACGGACGCCCAAAAATGAGCATGCAGACTCAAACCCAAAGCTTAGAAAAGGTACAAACTTCTAAAGGAGCACCTAAAGGAAAGGAAAGAAATAATCTGCCGTATCTTTTTAATTAATTGAAAATAATAAGATAAGTGAATTAATTTGTCTAATTAATACAAAATTTGATACCAAACTTTGATAAGTAGATACTGTTTTTCTGTCAAAGTGATTCTTATAATTTAAGATATAATTGGGAAAAAGATAAATAAAATATTACCTCTTTAAAATTATTATTTAGTTAAACAAAGGATATATTTCTTATTTTGGGATTTCTCCTACTTCGTATAACAGTCAATAGTTGTTAACTCCCAAAAAAAAGTTACCAGAAATTTCTCCTGGAAAAAGGAAATAATCTTTTTTGTTTTGATTTATCAAATCGGCGTCGGTTCATAAATATAGAGATTTGAATGAGAATCGGTTGCTGTTGATCAATACTTGGGGCACATCCGACGGTTGAATTCCAATGAACTTTGACTGAATACATTCGATCTTCCAAACTAATAGGAATTTTGATTCGAAAAAATCTCTACTCAAGTATCATGCACTTTTATATATCTATATATACGCCGTATTTCCGCAAAAGAGATAATATATATATATCTTTGAAAATCTCACTCAGTTAGTGTGATACTTTCAGTTTGAGTTTGAAGTCGACAATGGAAGATACTGAGAAACCAGTGTCAGCCTCAGAGAATGTGAAAGATCTAAACGATTGGCTTCCCGTCACCAAGTCTAGGAATGCAAAATGGTGGTATTCTGCTTTCCACAATGTCACGGCCATGGTTGGTGCCGGTNTTGGGAAAAAGATAAATAAAATATTACCTCTTTAAAATTAATATTTAGTTAAACAAAGGATATATTTCTTATTTTGGGATTTCTCCTACTTCGTATAACAGTCAATAGTTGTTAACTCCCAAAAAAAAGTTACCAGAAATTTCTCCTGGAAAAAGGAAATAATCTTTTTTGTTTTGATTTATCAAATCGGCGTCGGTTCATAAATATAGAGATTTGAATGAGAATCGGTTGCTGTTGATCAATACTTGGGGCACATCCGACGGTTGAATTCCAATCAACTTTGACCGAATACATTCGATCTTCCAAACTAATAGGAATTTTGATTCGAAAAAATCTCTACTCAAGTATCATGCACTTTTATATATCTATATATACGCCGTATTTCCGCAAAAGAGATAATATATATATATCTTTGAAAATCTCACTCAGTTAGTGTGATACTTTCAGTTTGAGTTTGAAGTCGACAATGGAAGATACTGAGAAACCAGCGTCAGCCTCAGAGAATGTGAAAGATCTAAACGCTTGGCTTCCCATCACCAAGTCTAGGAATGCAAAATGGTGGTATTCTGCTTTCCACAATGTCACGGCCATGGTTGGTGCCGGTGTCTTGGGCCACCCTTTTGCTCTCTCTCAACTCGGATGGTAAATGGTTACCTTTTTCTCCTTGGCCAGATCATATTTGTTTCTGGTTTAAATTCCATTGGTTTAAGTGATTGTTGTATCAGTAATAAGCTTACACCTTATCACAAGTCACAACACTCTCTCACATCATGACATGGCACATCATCTGTCACATTATTAAAAAGCCACTCAATTTCCCCTCAAACTATAAAAAAAATTTTAGAAAAAAAAAACCCAAAATTTCAGTTCCCTCTAAATCTAATCTCTCTCCCAAAAGAAAATCATTTGAGTTAAACTCTCTTCTTCTCATAAATTAGAAACCTCTCTCAAAGTTGCCCTACAATCAATCTTCCACCACTGTCATGTGCAACTCCTCTTCCTAAAATAAATTTCTCTCCAATACACTTATCTTGATGAGCTGAGCCTCATTATTCTAGGAAGAGCCAATAAGTTGAAGAAATCTTGAGAAGATATTCAGAGAAAGTTGAAAATGGAAATCCAAGAGAGTCATCACAGCTGGCACGAATCGTGGTCGGAGATAGACATCAATCTTGGAAGCAATAGAGTCGGATACAGTGGACCTCTAAGCGGTCCGATAACATCCAACAGAAAGAAGACCCACTGTTACGGCAAGAAGACAACAATCATTCATGACTCCTCGTCTTCCACCACTGTGGGCTGCAAGGATTTGTAGATATATGGCCAAGACTGATAGGTCCCAATCAAAGCTATAAGAAAATTGTTTAGAGAAGATAGTATTCTACTTAGGGTGAGAATAGAACACAAGAATTTTAATTGGAATTAGTTGTTTTATTGATGACTATAAAAGAGTTTAAATACAAATGGAAATTAACAACTACTCCTAATTCTTAGATCACATCTCTAAGAAATAGGACACTAACAGGTAATGACAACAAAGTCGAAAATTATTCAAAATTAAATAATAACTACTTGACCTATTCTTAAGCAAGTAGACCAGTGGACATGATCAACAACTTAGACCAAGTCTTTGGTAACAAGAATCTTCCATGCATTCCATGCATGACAGCTTTTAGTCAAAATACTTTGGGTTCTTCATGGGCACTCTTTGGGATCTTCTTGGCATATCAATACCCTCGCCTTTGGCTGGAACCTTGTCCTCAAGGTTCATATTTAAAAACTTGTCTTTTATTTCTTGTTTGTTTTCCCACGTAGCATCATCTACTGGAAGGCTTTTCCATTTGACCAAGCTTTCTTTGACAATTTTAGACCCTTTCTTGACCCAACGGGTGTCTAATATTGCCTCCGATTCCATAATCAAATCACCATCTTCAGCCATTGGAGGTAACTCAGTACTAGCAGCAATTGTGTCACCTAATTTCTTCTTTAGAAGGGACACGTGAAAGACCGGGTGAATGCGAGAACCTTGGGTTAGCTTGAGCTGGTAGGCCACCTTTCCAATTTTTTCTGCAATCTGATATGGCCCATAGAACCTGCTTGCAAGCTTTTGATAGGCTCTTTTAAACACAGATTGCTGGCAGTAGGGATGAAGCTTCAGAAACACAAAGTCCCCCACTTGATAGTCAATGTCTCGGCATTTGGAATCTGCTTGCTGCTTCATTTGATTGTTTTTGGCATGTAAATTTTCCTTAAGCTTCCATAGCAAGGCATCGCGAGAAGCTAAGCTTTGGTCGACTTCATTTATTGGACAATAACCTTCATGGTAATGTGGAATTGTTGGTAGGGGCCTTCCATACAGAGCTTGGAAGGGAGTCATTCTTGTAGATGCATGGTAAGTAGTGTTGTACCAAAACTCAGCCCATGGAAGGAACGAATGCCACTTACGGGGTTGTTGGTAAGCAAAGCACCGAAGATATTATTCAATACAACGGTTGGCCACTTCCGTTTGTCCATCTGTTTGCGGATGGTAGGCGGAGCTCATCTTCAATTTTGTGCCCGACATTTTGAAGAACTCCCGCCAAAAACGACTGATGAACACCGGGTCTCGATCGCTTATGATGGACTGAGGCATGCCATGAAGCTTCACCACTCCTTCAATGAATTTTTCAGCCACCACTTTTGTTGTATACAGATGAGAGAGAGCCAAAAAATGTGCTGATTTGCTCAACCTGTCAACCACAACAAGAATTGAATTTTTACCATTTGAAGGTGGAAGGCCTTTGATGAAGTCCATAGTGACATCATCCCAAACTTGACAAGGAATTGGAAGTGGCTGTAGAAGTCCGACAGGTGACAAAGTCTCATTTTTAGTTCGTTGGCACACTTCACAAGAGGCAACATAATGCTTCACTACTTGGTGCATGGATGGCCAATAGAATTGTTGTGCTAGCCTTTTGTAGGTGCACAATACACCCGAATGCCCCCCCATTGGAGAATCATGGAATTCTTGCAAGAGTTGTTGGATGATGGTGGAATGAGGAGGTACCACCACTCGATTTTTGTAACAAACCAACCTGTTGGGCCAGCTGTAAGGAATGCCTGGGTTTTCAGTTGCTTGTTTGCTGATTTTTTTCATGTAAGGATTGTCAGCAGCTTTAGCTTTGATTGTATCCCATAATTGAGTTTGAGACACAAACAAGGCATCAAGACTAGGACTACCCGCCACCCTCGATAGTGCGTTAGCGACATTGTTCTCTCGGCCAGTCTTATATTGGATCTCAAAATCGTAGCCAGGTAGTTTAGTCACCCACTTTTGTTGCTCAGGTGTTGCTATGCGTTGCTCCAACAAGTACTTGAGGCTGCGTTGATCAGTTTGGATGTAAAATTTTCGGCCTAGCAAATATGGTCTCCATGTTTGAATTGCGTGAATGATTGCTAACATTTCTTTTGCATAAACAGACCATGAGCGTTTAGTGGTGCCCAAGGCTCGACTTATGAATTCAATAGGCCTTCCTTGTTGAGTCAAAACTGCCCCTATGCCGTCCCCGGAAGCATCCAATTCAATGATAAATGCTTCATTGAAATTTGGCATTGCAAGTATTGGTGTAGTAGTCATGGCCTTTTTGAGTTCCTGGAAAGCATTTTCTGCTTCATCTGGCCATCCAAAATGTCCCTTTTTTAGGAGGTTGGTGAGAGGACATGCTATGATGCCATAGTTGCAAACAAATTTCCGGTAATAACCTATAAGTCCTAAAAATCCACGCAACTCAGGGACATTAGTAGGCCTAGGCCAATTCAGCATAGTTTTAATTTTTCCTTGATCCACCTTAACTCCTTGAGGAGTTACAATATGCCTTAAGTATTCTAATTCTT